GGACCTGAACAGCCTACTTTGTAACAGTTGGGAAGGAATGATATAGCTGATCATCATCTGCGTAGAGACATCTAACCCCAAAAGTCCGGATGATCTCTTCCAGTGGCTTCCGGGAGCTTTATGACCATCTCTGACCAGCACGTCCACTTCCATGGTCTCAGCCAGCTCATCTTATTCCTGGAAGACTGGTTTCAAAAATATCTTTCTCTTTCCTGAGAAAGGAACTCAGCTTCTCTGAGAATATAGGTAGACCCTGGGTTTGTGCCCCTTTACTATTTGACTCTATACTTACTATTACTTTGGAATGGGTCTCCTCATCTGCCGCCAGCGAGAGGCCCAGAGATATCCCAGAATGGTCTTTGGCATGGAAAAGGATAAACAAATAAATATAAAAAGAGAAAAGTCATGTTTGGAATGGATGCGCTCATCATGTATTCCAGCATTTCCCAGCATGGTAACCTCAAAATAGATAAGACTACAACTCCCGTCATACCTTTTGGAAAATGGAAATTTCCATTTCCATTTTATGATCTTTGGCAAGACATGACCTTGTGAGAAGTCATAACCTTTTGGAAAATGATGCCATAACCTCTTGGAAAAATGGCATTCATGCAAGGCAATTAAGTTTCTCAACTGTTAAACAGATGTACTTAGGTATGTCTTTGAACTGTTAGGGACAAAGATATGCCAATGCACAAAAAGCACATATATACAGCAGAGTTTCAGAAGTGTTCTTTTTGTTGGAAATTGCAACCTTCCAAGCCTCCACTGTCTGTTTGTAAGTGTGTATAATTGTTAACCTATATTGTATGTATATTTTGGTTTGCCAATTTGACTGTATCTCTTTGGTGTGGGAGGGGCTTCAGGCACAGGACTCCATTTTTGTTATATAGTATGCTTTTAGACCTCAATGGAGGTGGATACAGTTTGTCTCCTTTCAGACTTGAGTGAGTACAATTATACAGTTAGAACTATATCTATATGCTTAAAGAGATTGGACTATGGACTACTGTGCTGAATATATACAAGAAGTTTGTTAGTAAAGCTGCGATGTTATTTTTAAAGAAGACAACTTTGTGTCTCTTGAGTGCAAATTTTAAGGGAGGTTTTAAGGGAGAATAGATAGGCAACTGCAAATTGTACTTCAAAGAAACAACCATCCTCTGCTAACCAATATAAATAAGCAGACTTCTTTAAAAGTAACATAGTTGGTTTACTCACAAACTTCATGTATTCTGCATACAGGTACTTTGCTTATCAATCCAGTTACAAATAGATTTTGAAGTAGTTTCTCTGTGCAGATAACACAGGACAATTTTCTCATAATCTTAAACGTCCATAATCTAAGCATCTCTCTGTTCTGAAAGTCTAATAGAGTCTCTTGTCTAGTCTGAAAGCCCAGTGTAGTCTGAGATCTAAAATGGAGTCTGAGCCCTGAGCAAGCCCAGATCTGATCACACGGTCTGCAGCCACAACATAGACTTAAAGAAAAACTTCAAACCAGTATACACATATACAATACAGTAAGCAATTATATACATAACAAATAACTAGTGGAGGCTTGAAGAAGGTTGCTATTTCCAGCAATACCACAGCAGGTCTAAGACTATTCATCAATACTGAAGACTTAATGTAGCTTAATACTTATTAATCTGTTTCCCTTGGAGAATATTGAAATATTTTGTTACTGCTAATTTAACAGTCTCACCAACCCAAAGTTTCCAAACTTTTGGGGTTGGGAGATCATGGGAGTTAAATGGGTACAATATCAATACTTGGAAAAGTTACTTTTCAGGCTACTGGAATCCTTCAGGCAGTATGGAGTCCAAAATGATAATTTTTCCAAGTTACTATATTTATTTATTTATTTATTTGATGCATTTGTTGACCGCCGCTCTCAGCCCTTGGGCGACTCGCGGCGGTGTACAACATATAAAAACAGTTTACAAAAAACACACAGTACATCAACAAGCCATAATTACACATTAATCTAAATTATACTAACTAATCCGCACCGTCACAACATAGGAGCCTACCAGTCTCATAATCCATATTCCGTTCCGATTGTCATTATCAATTAGTCTGGCACTAGTTAAATGCCCTCTCGAAGAGCCAGGTCTTTAGGCTCTTCCGGAAAGCCATAAGAGAGGGCGCCTGTCTGATGTCAACAGGGAGGGTGTTCCACAGCCGGGGCGCCACCACTGAGAAGGCCCTCTCTCTCGTCCCCGCCAGACGTGCCTGTGAGGCAGGCGGGATCGAGAGAAGGGCCTCCCCAGACGATCTCAAGGCCCTCGTGGGCTCATAGGCCGAGATGCGGTCCGAAAGGTATTTTGGGCCGGAACCGTTTAGGGCTTTGTAGGATAACACCAGCACCTTAAATTGGGCCCGGTAGCTATAGATGTGTCAATTGACTATAGATGTGTCATGATGCTATGCCCCTGCAATACCTGCTTTCCCATGAAATAAAGTGATGAAATAAGCTACATACGGTTGAGATCTATTCGTTGGCACCTCTCTGTGTGATACGAACAGCGGAAGAGGGATCCCGTACGGTTCTCTGAAAGGGGAGCACTGACTAGCAACCTGCAGGAAGAAAGAAGTGGTTTTCAAACTTAATTTTTACAGGTGATGTGAAGAAAACTGAAGAAAACACAATCAGAGTTTCTCACCAGGATGCTCCACTAGAACTCACTGGAACAACACGATAGCCAAACTGGTTCACTTTGTCACCTGGGAATATCACTGGGGCATCTGTGTCAATAATGTTGAAATACTGTGCTCTGGAAAATGGTAGAAAACCTGGAATGGAAAACAGTGGGAATCATTGTGGTGTCACTCTCTCAGCCTCAGAGGAAGCCAATGACAAACATCTTCTGAACATGTTGCCAAGAAAATCCTGTGCTAGATTTGCATTAACCCTGAGTCCCCTTCGGGGTGAGAAGGGCGGGGTATAAGAACCTGAAATAAATAATGAAATAAAAAATAAATTAAGGACAGCATACGTTGGAAACAACTTAAAAGCATGCAACAACACCAACAGAAAGGGAAAGGAATTAATTAAAGTAACAGTTGCCTTCACTGATTTGCTTTGGGTGAGATTAATGAGAGTGTAATTAATAATAAGGCAGCAGGAGACGATGGGATCCCAGCTGAACTGGGAAAAATCAACTTATACTCCAATACCAAAAAAGGGGAAATGCCAAAGAATGCTCAAACTTTCTTACAGTGGCACTTATTTCTCATGCCAGTAAGGTAATGCTCAAGATCCTGCAAGGAAGACTCCAGAAATACATAGAAAGAGAGTTGTCAGATGTACAAGCTGGGTTTAGAAAAGGCAAAGGAATGAGAAACCAAATTGCCATGTAATCCAGTTCAAAGCAGATAATCTGGATTTTATATGGCAGTGCAAACGGGGCCTCAGCCAACTCAGCACCATCTAATGTTCAGTTTTGCATTTGCAAACTAAGAAAAACACTTGGTTTTGCTTTTCAACTATTTCTTCCTTTCTTACATTGTTCTGGTACACCTAACCCATTGAGTAAAGAAGGCATACTTGTATAATGCTTGGTAGAGTTGAAGGCAGTAGGAAAATAGGGAAACTGTGCTACAAGTAATAATTTTAATGTTCCGCTTTTGACAAATATGACTTTGTTAGACATTGTCTAAGACTAGCAATAACTACGATGATGATGATGATGATGATGATGATTTGCCAGAAGTTCTTAATTTCAGCAATGTTGCTGCTATCTATCAATGTGAAGTCTGGGACCGTATCCTCCATGGAGTTTTACTGTACTTACTTTATAACATTGTCATGCTATGAAAAAATAAAATTGCCTCCAGAACATGGCCATATAGCCCGGAAAAACCTACAACAACCCATGGATTCCGGCCATGAAAGCCTTCGACAATACAATATACAAACACATAGTATGCTTCAAAGTAGTTATGTAACTTCTTTTTTAAAATAATGTTTATTGCTTATCAAAGAACTAAAAAAAAAGAAAATGTATATAAAAATATATAGATACAGTGAAAGTGGGGGAACAATTATCCATAGTAAAGTAGGAAAAAATATAGATAGAAGAGATAGACCAATCCAGGAAAAGAAAAGAGGGGAAAAAGTAGTAAAAATAAAAATTAAAAAAACCAGGTGACTTCCACTCTTCTTCCTTTCGTTGAATCTTCCATTCCAAACACTACAAGATTATTGTTAAGAGCCTTTTCCACCAAAATTAAGTCCCATATAACAGAGAGCTGGTCTGGTCAATTTTCCGAAGTTGTTACGTAACTTCTAAGTAATTTTGTGACTCACTTGATATGGATTGCTACGTAGATAGGGTGACAAGGGTGAAGACTGAAGACCACTTTTGCACCATCAATGGTCATGCAGAAGAGAGAATTTAAGCAGGATAGTTGTAGGTTTTTCGGGCTGTATGGCCATGTTCTAGAAGCATTCTCTCCTGACATTTCGCCAGCATCTGTGGCATCCTCTGAAGATGCCTGCCACAGATGCAAGTGAAACGTCAGGGGAGAATGCTTCTAGAACATAGCCATACAGCCCGAAAAACCTACAAAAACCCAGTGATTCCAGGCATGAAAGCCTTCGAGAATACAATTTAAGCTGGTGGTGCTTGCTTGTTACCTGGTGGTTTACCATGCAACTCTTGCTGAAATTCCCTTTTGTGCGCAACCATTCATGCAGTTTCCACTCTGGCAAAAGCCATATACAGAAGGAAGCAGGGGAAATTTCTATTTAGCCGGTGAGCATTAGATTCCATTGCATCTTTTTTCCTCACCTTTCCACACTTGCTTTGTCTGGAACATGGGGCAGAGGGGAACTAGACATCAATTACCTGGTTTTTCCATTAAGAGATGTGGTCACATAGGTCATTGGTCACCTTTTCCTCTTCATGATACTTATTATCTTTCCCAGCTTTCACAAGAGTTGTAGAGTTAAATCTCTTTAACTGTCATGGCCCAATGCTATGAAATCATGGGATTTGTAAATTGATGAGACTCCAGCACTCTTTAGCAGAGATGGCTAAAGACCAAGTAAATTACAACTCCCATGATTCTATAGCATTGACCCATGGATTCCATAGCACTGACCCATGGATTCCATAGCATTGACCCGTGGTGTCAAACTGCATTAATTCTGCAGTCTAGATGCACCCTGAAGCAAGACGCTTAGGCAGCAGATGCTGAGGGAGGGGTGATTCAGAAGGATGACAGTGATGATAGATACTACCAGTTCTTTAGACCAAATTCAGCCTCTTACTTTATCTGTACCTTGTTTTATTTGCATTTTAATCCCGAGGAAACAGAATCTGAGATACTTTGTAATCCAAAATCATCCACATTTGTGGCTAAATTAGCAACAATGGTATTTTCTGAGGTTTCAGTGTACACAGACTTTATTTACTGCAGTATGTATGAAAGGTATATATGAAATATAAAAAAGTGTCATGTTTAGACTTGAGTCACGTTATATTCTATTATGTATGTACATGTGAATTCAGATATTCCAAAATCTGGAATCCAAAACATCAGTGGCCCCAAGGATCATGGATAAGGGATACTCAGCATGTATTTATAAGCTGCTCTGGGAATCATTTTAGCTTAAGGTTAGGTTATACACAAGAGAGAGACCGAGACCAAGAGAGACAGAGAGAGATCAAAAAATATGGAGGGAGGGCAGGTGAAAAAGAGAGAGAAATAAGACAGACACAGAGGTGATAAAAATGATGATAGATAGATAGATGATAGATAGAATTTGTCTGTCTGACATATGAGAGAGATGATAGAGATGGTAGATAGATAGATAGACAGACAGACAGACAGACAGACAGATAGATAGATAGACAGACAGAGAGAGGTGATAGAGACATTGTCTGTCTGACATATGATAGAGAAGACTGATTGATTGATTGATTGATTGATTGAGATGAGATGGTATAGATGGTAAATAGATACATAATGTGATAGAGATGGTCTGTCAAATGAGAGATGATAGATGATAGATAGATAATGTGATAGAGAGATGGTCCGTGTCTGTCATGTGATAGAGATAATAGACAGACAGACAGATAGATCGACAGATGATAGAGAGATTGCCTGTCTAACATGATGGAGATGACTGATCGATTGAGATGAAATGATAAGGCTGGTCTGTCAAATGAGAGATGATAGATAGATAGATGGATGGATGGATGGATGGATGGATGGATAGATAGATAATGTGATAGAGAGATTGATAGATAGATGATGGAGATAGATAGATAGATAGATAGATAGATAGATAGATAGATAGATAGATAGATAGATAGATAGAGATAGATAGGCAGATAGACAGGTAATAGAGAGAGACGGCCTGTCTGACATGATAGAGATGACTGATCAATTGAGATGAGATGATAGAGATGGTAGATAGATACATAATGTGATAGAGATGGTCTGTCATATGAGAGATGATAGAGCAAGGGTCTGTGTGACATGAAAAGAGATGACTGATTGAGATGATAAATAGATATGATAGATAGATAGATAGATAGATAGATAGATAGATAGATAGATAGATAGATAGATAGATAGATAGAGATAGATAAGGGAAGGAATGAAAAGAAAGGAACCAAGGAATAAAAACAAGGGCTTCAACCTCTCTTAACACCTGGGAAACATACATGAGACATTAGAAAGAGATGAGACAGAAAGAGAAGAGAGGGGGGAGAGAGACGTATTAGATAAGTGATAGAAATAAGAAATAGAAGATAGATAGATAAATAGATAGATAGATAGATAGATAGATAGATAGATAGATAGATAGATAGATAGATAGATATAGGATAAACAGAGATGGTAGATAGATATGATAGATATGAGAGAGATTGTCTATGATAGAGAAATAGAGATAGGAGAGAGACAGACAGACACATGATAGATATGATAAATAGAGATTTCATTCTCCTTAGAATGGGCACGTGTTTCAACATGAAGTGTGTCAGGACACCCAAAGGCCCCCAAATAGGGGGAAAGGGTTCATTCTGTGAGAGGATCCTGTCACTTCCTTCCACAATCAATAAGGCATTTCTCAAGAAAGTGTCAACAAGTTTTAAAAAAGAAACCATCAGAGGACAACATTGAGTGGCCGCTGCCCTTGAGCAAGATGCCCTCAGGGACCTCACATTGTCCTTATTTGTGAGGAGACAGTGCAGATGTGAGGAAATGGAAAATTGTCATGAAAAAGAAGAAAATTGTCACCTCAGGCAGATGGAGTCTGCATCTATATTGTAAGATTAATGAAGTTTGTTTGGCACCACTTTAACTACCATAGCTCAAGGCTATGGAATCCTGGGATTTGTAGTTTAGTGGGGCACTAACATTCTCTGGCAGAGGGAAAGCTAAATACATTGTCAAACTATAACTCCCATAATTCCATAGTATTGAGCCATGACAGTTAAAGTGCTATCAAACTGTATTAATTCTACATTATAGATGTTACACACTCTCTCAGAGGAAGGCAATGACAAACCTCCTCTGAGCTCATCTTGCAAGAAAACCCCATAATGCAGTGTTCCTCAACCTTCCTATTGCCCTGACCCCTTAATACAGTTCCTCATATTGTGGTGACCTCCCAACCATAACATTATTTTCGTTGCTACTTCATAACTGTAATTTTGCTACTGTTATGAATTGTAATGTAAATATCTGATATGCAGGATGTATTTTCATTCACTGGACCAAATTTGGCACAAATACCCGATACGCCCAAATTTGAATACTGGTGGGGTTGGGAGGGATTGATTTTGTCATTTGGGAGTTGTAGTTGCTGGGATTTATAGTTCACCTACAATTCTGAACTCCACCAATGATGGAATTGAACCAAACTAGGCACACAGAACTCCCATGACCAACAGAAAATACTGGAAGGGTTTGGTGGGCATTGACCTTGAGTTTTGGAGTTGTAGTTCACCTACATCCAGAGAGCACTGTGGACTCAAACTATGATGGATCTGGACCAAATTTGGCACGACTACTCAACATGCCCAAATGTGAACACTGGTGGAGTTTGGGGAAAATAGTCCTTGACATTTGGGAGTTGTAGTTGCTGGGATTTATAGTCACCTACAATCAAAAGAGCATTCTGAACCCAGCCCACAATGAATCTGCACCAAACTTGGCATACTACCTACATGGCCATCTCATTGGGGTTTTGGGGGGGGGGGGGGGCTGTTTTTGAATTCTGGGAGTTGTAGTTCACCAACACCAAAAAGGAAGAGAAGGACAGGCAGAAAGATCTTCAGCCTTCTCTGCCAAAGAAGTTCCTAAGACCTCTGAAACCCCTCTCGTGACCCCCACCAGAGGTCCCAACCACCAGGTTGAGAAATATTGCCATAATGGGTTCCTCTTAGGGTGGCTTATACATTGGGAAATGGCTTTCAAGGCTCACAACAATAGGTTTGTATGGAAATAGTAGCCATCTTGTCTCACATTGCATGTGACTCAACCCTGTGTTTTGAAATGGATCTGGAAATAAGTCAGGAAGACCCTGATCTTATTTTGCAGCCATCCAGCTCCACTTTACAACTCTGGTTGCACGTTCAAGCCATTATAGTTAGTCATCTTCCAAGGCAGCCCCGTGCATAACCTATTGCAATAGACTGAACGAAGTGTCTACTCAATATGTCGAGCCAGCTTCCGTTATTCTTACAAAATCCCTGTGCTGCACTGCCTTGGTTAATATTGCAGAGCAGACACTGAAATCAAAAGAACTGTTTTGTCATGGGGAACTCAAAAGTAGAACTGTCTGTTTAATTTTCGACTTACGGTTTCAATTGGTACATAGAGATATAAGCATATAAAAAGAAAAAAATGATTTTGTGACAGTGCTGAGAGACCAAAAGACAACTAATCTAAGACATTGGCAAAGTGATGTTGCAAATCGTGATTCCTAGCATTGTATTGTCAAAGGCTTTCATGGCCAGAATCACTGGGTTGTTATGAGTTTTTCAGGCTATATGACCATATTCCAGAAGCATTCTCTCCTGACATTTTGCCTGCATCTATGGAAGGCATCCTCAGAGGTTGTGAGGTCTGCTGGAAACTAGGAAAATGGGGTTTGTATTGTCGAAGGCTTTCATGGCCGGAATCACTGGGTTGTTGTGAGTTTTTCAGGCAATATGGCCATATTCTAGAAGCATTCTCTCCTGACGTTTTGCCTGCATCTATGACAAGCATCCTCAGAGGTAGTGAGGTCTGTTGGAACTAGGAAAATGGGTTTATATATCTGTGGAAAGACCAGGGTGGGTAGCTCCAGCAGACAAGAGTCCTTTGTCCCACCCCGGTCATTCCACAGATATATAAACCCCTTTTTCCTATTTCCAACAGACCTCACTACCTCTGAGGATGCTTGCCATAGATGCAGGCGAAACGTCAGGAGAAATGCCTCTAGAACATGGCCATATAGCCCGAAAAAACCTACAACAATCCACAGGGTTTATACATCTGTGGATTGTCCAGGGTGGGAGAAAGAACTCTTGTCTGTTTGAGGTAGGTGTGAATGTTTCAATTGGCCACCTTGATAATGGCCTAGCAGTTTCAAGGTCTGGCTTCTTACTGCCTGGGGGAATCCTTTGTTGGGAGGTGATTAGCTGGCGCAGATTCCTAGCATTCCTCACCACCGGCTTTGCTAGTTAGGGCTGATAGTGTTTTAAGTCTCATTGTGGAAAACATTACACACTTTGAAAACAGGGATCCTTAACTTAACGCCAAGTTGCATTATTATTACTTCTCTCAATATCCTATAATCAAAGCATGTAAATGTTTTTTTTAAAAAATTCCCAAAAAATCCTCACTCCAGTGTGTCACTAGATATATCTTTCCCTAGGTCTGCTCACATTCTGAACTCCTTTTTGTTATTTATTTTGAAATATATAAGATATTTCTAGGCATCTCTGGGTAAAGATCCTGGAATACGATACAGTCAATAGAATAGTTAATATAATTTTAAACAGTTCAGCTTAAGTAAAAAGCACAATGCAATTACCCCAAACCAAGCTACAGCCCTCAAATCTGGATGTATAACCAAGGGTGCATCTACCCTGAACATTAAAACAGGATTCAATACTGCTTTAACTGCCACAGCTCGATGCTATGGAGTCCTGGAATGTGTAGTTTTGTGAGGCACCAGCACTCTTTGGCAGAGAAGGCTAAACATCTTTTGAAACTACAACTCCCAGGGATCCATAGCAATTAGTGATAGCAGTGAAAGTGGTGTCAAACTGGATTCATTTGACAGTGTAGATGCAGTCTTGGTTGCTACCTACCTTGGCTGGGGAGATTGCAGTCCTCCCATTGTTCATCAACAAACTATTCCTTCTACCTTTTCAACTGGTCAGCTTAACTGATGGGAATTGGAGTTGAACAGCACATGGATAGCCACAGGCTTCCTTCTTTATTTGCCCCTGGCCGGTATTACATCTCCAAAGCGTTACTATACTCCTAAAACACATCCCCTCCCCCCCCTCCTCCTCTCCACCACATACTCTAAATGCCCAATCACACCCAAAGCAGTTACTACACTCCAACTCAAGAATGGGAAATAATGTTGGTGGACAGGAAAAGAGATTTAAAGATGGGCTTAAAGCCAATCTAAAACTGTGGCATAGACACAAGAACTGGGAAGCCCTGGCTCCTGGGGCGATCAGCTGTGACCAGCAGTGCTGCAGAATTCAAGAGGCATGAATGGAGGGCGAAAAGGAGAAACGTCAAGAGGAAGGTGCGCCAAGCCAACTCCGACCAGGACCGCCTTCCACCTGGAAACCGATGTCCTCACTGCGGGAGAAGATGCAGATCAAGAATAGGGCTCCACAGTCACCCACGGACCCACCGCCAGGACACTACACTTGGAGAACCATCATCCTCAGGCTACGAGGAATCGCCTAAGTAAGAAGATGTAAATAAGAAATAAGACTGATGCTGAAGTTGACCTTCAAGGAACTATATTTTTCTCATACCCAGCTCCTGGTTTCCAAGTCTTTCAACCTATTCTTTGCTCATGTGAATCTAGAATCACAGAGATGAAAGAGACCTCATGGGCCATCCAGTCCAACCCCATTCTACCAAGAAGCAGGAAAATTGCATTCAAAGCACTCCCGACACATAACCATCCAGCCTCTGTTTAAAAGCTTCCAAAGAAGGAGCCTCCACCACACTCCGGGCAGAGAGTTCCACTGCTGAACAGCTCTCACAGTCAGGAAGTTCTTCCTAATGGAATCTCTTCTTGTAGTTTGAAGCCATTGTTCCGCGTCCTAGTCTCCAGGGCAGCAGAAAACAAGCTTGCTCCCTCCTCCCTATGACTTCCTCTCACATATTTATACATGGCTATCATGTCTCCTCTCAGCCTTCTCTTCTTCAGACTAAACATGCCCAGCTCTTTAAGCCGCTCCTCATAGGGCTTGTTCTCCAGACCCTTGATCATTTTAGTCGCCCTCCTCTGGACACATTCCAGCTTGTCAATATCTCTCTTCAATCGTAGTGCCCAGAATTGGACATAATATTCCAGGTGTGGTCTAACCTAGGCAGAATAAAGGGGTAGTATGACTTCTCTAGATCTAGACATCTACTCCACCCACACCTTTCTTTACTCTTTATGAAGCTGCCACCTTTCTCCTTATGGTCTTTGCACCTTTCAAAACATGGTGACTTTTCTTTCCAAGCATGGGAAAGTGTCCTTTGCTCGTTTCTTCAGACTGATATGGTATTAAAAGGAATGAGAACAAGCAGATGTCTCTCTTGAGGGCAATTAGCAACCTACCTAATGAGCCAAAGCCCAGCTCTCAAACCTACCTGGACCAAAGCAGAGGAGAAACACCACTTGGAGAGTCCATCTTTTCCCGATGGTGTGTCCCATGCTGCCTGTTGCTTCACGTCCTCTGTGGCTTTCTGTCAACATGCTGCGCTGGAGAGCTCTGCATCTCACTTCCTATTGACCACACCGCAACGCCCTTGCACAGGCCTCTCCCCCTACACGCTATTCAAATCACTTCTTTTTGCAACCTTACATCTATTCAAACATTTCTTAACCATCTTGCAATGAAAGGATTCAGATGTACAAATCGAAGGGCTTGTCAAGAGTACTTCCTTCCCCCCCTCCTGTTCCT